TCAAGTTTTTGTTGGATCAGAAACTCTCAACCTCAATGCAACACAAATGGTTGGCTAAGCTATTGGGATTGGACTATGAAATTCAGTACAAGAAGGGAACTGAAAATAAGGTCGCAGACGCACTGTCAAGGCTACAACCAGAAGAAATGAACCAGGAAGGAGAGATCGACAGTAAAGCCATCACCATAGTTCAACCTAAATGGATTCAGGAAGTTGAAAAAAGCTATGAAGGGGATGAAAAAGTGCAGAAAGTAATGACTGAGATAGCAGCTGGTAACAATACTGAATTTCAAATGGTCAAATGCTTGGTTAAGAGAAAAGATAAGGTCTATATAGGCAGCTCCAACAATATCAGACAGCAGCTCATCACTGCTATGCATTCCTCACATTTGGGGGGACATTCAGGTCAACTGGTTACATTACAGAGAATCAAAGCTTTATTTTTTTGGCCTGACATGAAGAATCAAGTGGAAAACTTTGTAAAAACTTGTGACGTATGCCAGAGGAATAAGGTGGAACACGTTGCTTATCCGGGGTTACTTCAACCGTTGGAGGTACCACAGCAAGCTTGGCGTCAAATCAGCATGGATTTCATTGAAAGAATGCCATTGTCTCATCAAGGTTTCGACACAGTTCTGGTTGTGGTTAATCGCATGACAAAATACAGCCATTTCCTCCCTATGAAACACCCCTTCTCTGTAGTTCAAGTTGCTGAATTATTCATGAAGGAAGTGTATCCCCTGCATGGATTACCAAAAGTGATAGTGAGCGACAGAGACAGGCTCTTCACCAGCCATTTTTGGCAAGAGCTGTTTAAGTTGCTAAACGTCCAGCTTAATTTGAGTACGGCATATCATCCACAAAGCGATAAACGGAGCATGTCAACCAATGCCTGGAAACTTATCTCAGATGCTTCGCTTGTCAGAAACCTTCAACATGGAGCAATTGGATACCATTAGCAGAGTGGTGGTACAACACGTCGTATCACAGCAGCATTAATATGACGCCTTTTGAAGCACTCTATGGAAGCCCTCCTATTCACGTGCCCTTAGGAGAATATGGCAATGTAATAATTCGAGCTGCCCAGGATATGCTTGAAAGGAGAAAAGAAATTGACCAAATGTTGAAGGAGCAACTGAGGAAAGCTCAGGATCGCATGAAAATCTTTGCGGATAGAAAAAGATCAGAAAGACAACTGAACGTTGGGAGTGGGTTTATTTGAAGCTGCAACCCTATAAGCAACAATCAGTGGAGTTGAGGAGTTCACTTAGGTTGTCTAGCAGGTATTTTGGACAATACGAAGTTCTGCAAAAAGTTGGAACAGTGGCTTATAAACTCAAGTTGCCGGATCACGCCAAGATCCATCCTGTCTTTCACGTATCACTGCTAAAGAAACATCTGGGATCTCGCCCTATCAATGCCACTTCGCCACCTGATTTTGATTGCCATGAAGATGTCACTCTGTTCCCAGAAACAGTTTTGCAAAGGAGGATCATCAAGCGAAACCAAGCTCAAGTGGTACAATGGTTAGTAAAATGGAGAGGTTTGGATGTATCAGACGCATCATGGGAGGATAAGGACTTCATTTCTAAACAGTTTGCCGGATTCAAAGCTTGAGACAAGCTTTGCTTTACAGGGGAGCACTGTCACGAGTAGAGACTAGATGGTAAAATTTTGATAGTTAAAGACTCAATCTGCTAATTCGGGGATAGTTGGAAAATATTGTCGTTTCGGGTTATATTCTGTTTCTGCTTAAATTATTTATTTGCTTGTCGTTTTTAGGTTGCTGCTTCTAGAAACACTCAGGTGGCTGCTGGGAAGTTTCCTACTTTTTGTCATATAGTAAATTAACGTCAATTTAGGAAGGACAGAGGGCATTGTAAACGGCATCGGATATTTTATGAAATACTCTCTTCTAATTATCTTCCTTCTAAATTATCTTCTTCCCCTTTCTGTTTTGCTAATTCCTTATCTCCTCTGATTCTGAACTCTAGATCTAGTATTAGCCCCCTAATGGTGACAGCCCCCCAGCCCTAGCCTATTAATTATATAGATATAGGGCTAAACCATGACCCATTTGTAATGATTGGACCAGAGGAATTGCTTTGTTTCATTTCGGCCTTATTAGCCCATCATCCACGTGAAACATCCCATTTTGACTTTATTGTTTAGGCCATATAATAATATGAGGTTGAAAGTTAAAACATCCAATAAGCACCCTATTTTTAATTTGTTTTATTTTGGCTTTAAAAGCCCAATGCCAACGGGAAGCTTCTCCTAAATTGTGACCCCCAATCTAGTCAATTAGGTTTTTACTCTTTTACTTCTTCTTTCGCAAAACGGTGGCACCACCAAAACACAGCCTTTCCTTCAAAATTTGAAAATGATTCTATCTCTTTCAAAATCAACTTTATCTTCCACAATTCTTCGAATTAGCTATCTCATGTTTTTGAATTTCAATTTTGTTTTTAAAGATCATCATTGGGTCAAGTTGTGCCTATAAAACATTAAATTTTCTATTGTTTTCTTCTTCACCGGAAGTCTTTGACAGGAAGTGGCTACTCAAATTTTTTCTTACAATTGCCAGGTAAAATGTCTTCTACTTCTTTTAGTGATGTAGGATCTATTGGCTCTTCTAGTGATGAATTGGATGAATCACCTGCTGTTCTATTGATTGTATTGTGCAAGTTGTATCTGGATCAGTGATTCTGCGGCCTAACAGCCGGAGATCAAGAGGGGGCAGCCCCCGCTGGGCTGCCTCGATCCTTTGGTAGTTTTTTCCATAAGCCTCCAGTATCAAAACTTGCTGTGAACCAAAAATTCAAACAGGTGAAGTTCGTTAATGGCTCTCTTGTGCTTGATTTTGATGACGAAGAATATGAGAGCCTTGTAGCTCCTCACCGACTAAACCTTGTTGGAAAATTCTCCTACGGAAGGCCGAAGATGGAAGAAGTGCGAAAGGAGTTTGATAAAATTGGTTTTCGTGGAAACTACTTTATTGGTTTGATGAACCCTTGGCACATCTTAATACGTGTTGAATGTGAAGATGATTATCAGAGATGCTGGATAAAAACAGCTTGGACTATCCAAGTTTTTCACACTACAACAATCCCCCCCTAATATGACACTTTTATTGGGACACTTTCAATTTAAGTGTCCTAACAATATATTTTGGGACACTTACATTATCGTATCCCGTTAAATTGTACTAACAAGACGTTTCTATGTGTCCTAATCGGAATCCGTCCCAATAAGTAGTGAGACGCATTCAACTATCTCATGAGTCACTATATTAGGCCGGTTAAAAGTGTCTTATCAATTCTTCTGTTTTTATTTAATTTAAATTTTTTATATTTCTATTTTTTATTTATAGTAATTCTATTACAACACCCTAAATTTATACATGTACCCATGTAGTATTTGTTTGTTTATTATTAGACTTCTTAAAGTTTCAAGAAATGTTGGTGTGCCACCCTAATACTTAGTTTTCTGACCCAAATATTTTAAGTTTTTGTGTACAAGTACGTTTTGCTTACTCATCAAATGTAATATTGATTAATAATATTAAAATTTTTTGGATTTGTTTTTATAAATCTTAATCTTAACCAAATGAGAATTAATAATGTTGTTATTTGTGCTGAATTCATTGTGATTAAGAGTACTTATGACATTGTATGTTGTAAGTATTCATTAAGGATATGCAGTATAATTTTCCAAGTGATATGTGTTATTAGTGTTCAACACTATGTAAGTAATTATAGTGCAAGCATATTACTAACCTATTACATCATTCATTATAAAACAAAAGTTCTATTTGCTACATTAAAATTTAGCAAATAATGTTCACTACCATAAAGACTATGTAAAGTTTCATTTGTTATACTAACAACTCACTTACGAGTATTATAGTTCATACTTCATAGTACTAACTACTACTAGAAGGACTACATCATTATCATTATAAATAGACTAATGATTTGGCCCATTTACCTAAATAGACCCAAAAAAAAAAGGGTAGAAATTTATATTTTAATTTTTTTTTTGTGGTCACGAAAACATTTGCCGGAAACCAATTTTCCGTTTTTCTAACTATAGTTTAAAAAACGGACTTTCAATTTCCGTTTCCTTATTTTGAATTTTAAAATAATTAAAATTGAAAAACCCAATTTCGCTCGGAAAAAAAAGATAGGAAATATTAGGGAAAATTTTAAACGGAAATTCGAATTCCGTTTTCTTATCAATAAAAAAACGGAAGATGCAATTCCGTTTTTCGTGTCTTAAAAAACGGAAAACGGGATTCCGTTTTTCTATTATCAGGTTGTCAGCTCCATTATTGGTCTGACACTGGTAATCTGACACTGATAATCTGTAAGAATCAGAGCTACAGGCTTTAATCATAAAACGGAATTCTAAAATCCGTTTTTTGGTTTATATATGAAGAAAAATTGACACTGTTACCAGATCTGGAAAGTTTTGAAAGGGAAGAAAAAAATATGAAGACGTCTGCAGTTTGAATCTGTTTTTTGCGGCTGAAAATTGTTATCTTTCAGGTTAGTATAGCGTTGATGTTATTTGTTTCCTTTAATCGTATTGTATTAAATTAATTAATTATTGGTCTTATTAAATTCGAATTAGAATGTTTAGTATGAAAATATTGAATTTATTAGGAAATTCGATATGGACAGTTATATTTGGAAATGTAGACTGTTTTTTGAAACATTGGATTGTTTATGGAAATTTAAACTAGGAAAATATTGGATTGTTTGTTTAAATGATGGACTGTTTATGGAAATCTGGGTTTTTTTTAAATGCTGGGTTGTTTATGAAACAATCTTGGACTGTTTATCCAAGTACTGATGTTTTATTTGGAAAAAATTGTACTTTTTTTTAAATGTTGGACGATTTATGGAAATTTATACGCTATTATTTGAAAATGATTGTACTGTTTATGAAAATATAGAGACTGCTTTTTTAATAAATATTTTATTTTTGACAGAAAAATGGCATGGAATGGTCCATATTTTATTAATGTGTACTGGAGAAATAAATATGTTGTGGAAGATGGCACGATCAGAACATTTGATAACAGGGCAGATGCGACATTAGTTATTGAGCGGAAGCTGTCGTATTCTGAGTTTTTGGGCAGAATTTGTGATAAAGCGGGTTGGGATAGAAATTATGTAAATCTAAGAATTAACTTGTTGTTTGAAAACAACGGTGTAAGACGAAGCGCAACAATTACGGACGACTCGTCAGTGGAAATTATTTATTATTTTTCAGGTTCATCATATTTGGAGCTATATGTTGAAAATGAAGACACGGTGCAGGCCCAAAATTTGTTAGATCTGTCAGGACAAAAACAGGATGTTACATTTGTGTCGCAACAGGACCAGCAATATTGGATGAATAATTCTCAACATGCAGAAGCAGGGCCTAGCAGGAGCAGCGGCGATGGATACGTTGCAGAGGGACATGGTGGGGTCAAAATGATGACTTTGATTCATCGATGAGGATGATGCATCGACGGGACTTATGTAGAAAGCGAAGAAGAAGTTGACTACCAAACCGATGTGTCTGACGAAACCGACTTAGAAGATGAAGAACAAGAAGCAAGACGCAGGAGCGAAGCAGTGCAGAACTTAGTTACGTCTGGTTTTGGTCAGCATGTTTATTCAGACATTGGTGATTATAAAAATAGCATACTGGATCGAGATGAATTTGAAGTTAAGATGTGGAAAGGTGATAGAGAAAACCTTGATTTGAATACCTGTTTCAACAACAGGGATGAAGTTGAGGCAGCTATCGAAGACTGGAACATATATCACAACAGGCAATTTTATGTTCTTTCTTCTGGACGTAAGTCATGGTCTGCAGAGTGCGCGACAAGAAGAATGCAAACTCCAATTGGGCAATCTACTTGTGCGTGGAGGATGCATGCATCTTTGAAGAAGAATGGTCTGTGGCAAATTGTGTCCTGGGTTGATCGTCACAATTGCGTTGGAATAACCAGACAAAATGACCATCGCAATTTGAGGTCGAAGTTAATAGCCAGACTTATCAGGCGTAGTGTTGAAAATGATCCTGGTTTTAAGGTAAAATCAATCAGGGATGCTGTGAAGGAAGCTTATAAGGTGGATGTGAAGTACAAGAAGGCATGGCATGCAAGAAGAAAAGCTATCGAAGCGTGTTATGGTAGCTGGATCGACAATTTCACGGAATTGCCATGGTAAAAATTTAAAACTTATTAGATTCCGAATTGCCATGGTTTTTCAAATGCACACTGTTATAATTCACTGTTTTAATTCTTGGATTATTGGACTGTTTATTAGACTCTATTGTATTTATGATAGGTATATGGCTGCACTACAGAAATCTAATCCCAACACAGTTGTTGAGTGGAAATGGCAGCTCGGGACTGAAAATGATGAATATAGGGTCTTCAAATATGTTTTCTGGGCATTTGGTCCTTCTATTGCGACCTTTCATATGTGTCAACCTGTTGTGAGTATTGATGGCACACACCTTCGCGGTCAGTACAAGGGTAAGCTTCTTGTAGCAATGGTGAAAACTGCTAACAACCATATCCTGCCCATTGCTTTTGCAATTGTAGATGAGGAGAGCGAGGAAAGCTGGTCATTTTTTCTCTGTAATTTGAGGCTTCATGTTGTACACGACCGAATCACGTGTCTTATATCAGATCGGCATAAGGGGATAATCAGTGCACTGAAGAATAATGCCGATTTGTGGCTTGAACCATATTTTGGATACCACAGGTATTGTCTTCGACATGTTCGGAGTAACATGGTGGCGAAACACAAAAAACAAATAGCTCGAACAAATCTGGTGTGCTGGAAAATGGGCAAGAAGAGGCAAAATCACAAGTTTCTAAAATTTCAGCAACAACTGAGAGAGTGCAATGAAGCAGGTCTTGCTTATATGATGGCTATACCGAGGGGGAGGTGGAGTCTTGCCTACGATCAAGATTATGCACGTTGGGGCATGTTGACAACAAATATATCTGAGAGTTACAACAATGTTCTGAAGGGTGTTCGATTTTTACCAATTAGAGCTGTGGTGGAATCGACTTTGGCGAAGACAATTAAGTTCTTCCGTGATCAGTATGCAGATGCCTTGAAGTGTAATACTCCTATCGGAGATAAATATTGGAAGAAATTCTGTAAGTATGAGAATACAAAGAAGAACTCACAAAGTGGAGCTGTATGATTTCCAGCAACAAGTGTATGGGGTCATTACAGGTTGGCGTCGTATAGGGAAAGGTGGTAATGAACACAAAGTAGAATACAGAGATTGGCGTTGTTCATGCAAGAAGTGGCAGACTTACAGGCTTCCTTGTTCGCACGCATTGGCTGTATGTCGGTGGATTGGTGATCACCCAGAAAACATAATACATGAATATTATAAGACGAGCACATGGCGTGAGCAATTTCGTCATTCTAGGTTTGTTCCCGTCCCAAGAAGAGAAGAGTGGGTGTCTGTGGTGGAACCTTGTTCCCGATTATGTCAATTTAGTTCTGTATAATGCCGTAGGGCGTCAACAACAGCGGCGATTCTTGATGTCCATGGATTATACGGGCAGGGGTGCACGTAGAAGATGTAGGAGATGCGGTAGTCGAGATCATTTAACAAGGCATTGTCATCGTTCGCACCGCTTAGCTGATCGGACTAGATTGGAAGTCAACTGGGACGCAAATGGTTTCGAAAATGTTGAAGAGGACTGAATCCCTCCGTTCTGTTTGTGTTTGTGTAGTAGATATTTGATTCTGTTTGTGTAAAAGACTCATTTGAATTATCAATTTGGTTTTTTATTTTGAAGAAGCATATTTTTATCTTAGTTGGATGTTTGTAATATGTGTTTCGTTTAGAATAACATGTACAGTATTAAAAACGGAATTTGAACATCCGTTTTAAGGCAAACATAAAAAACGGAATTGAAAAATCCGTTTAATTGTTTGAATTTCTGATTTGTAAGAATTTATAATAAAATGTAATTTTTTTATTTGTCCTGGTTTATTTAAAACGGATTATTGAAATCCGTTTACAGGATTCCAGGTCATCGTCGCATAAAACGGATTATTTAAATCCGGTCTATAATTAAAACGGATTTAGGTTATCCGTTTGTTGTAAATTTATTAAAACGGATATTGGTAATCCGTTTTATGAAAACGCAAATTTAGACAAAACTGCATCTTTTCCCATTTTTTCTTGCTTCTTCCTCCCCGTTTCTTCACCGGCCGGCCACCATCTCATCTCCGGTGTAACCATATTTTTGCCCTAATTTTCCCCTAATTCCACAGATTCTCTCATTTTCCCCTAATGTTCTTCCACGTTTCTGCGAAGGCACCGATTTTGCCCTAATTTTCCCCAAGTCAGAATTTTCCCCTAATTTTGCCCTAATTTTCCCCAAGTCCCAATTCGGAATCGTTCCCGTCTTCCCGTCTTCCGTCCGGGAACTCAATGATTCCGTCCGGGTTTTTATGTGATTTGGAGCAATGGAACTCAATGATTCCGTCCAAATTGATGGAAGTTTGCTGCTGTTGGTGAGCTCCTGGAGGGTTCGATTGGCCTTGTCGAGTTCCCGACGAGCTTGAGCTTTTGTAGCTTCGGTATTCTTGAGTCATTCCTTGCAATCTTCCAATTCTTTGAGAGCCAAGTGAAGCTGTGTCTCTTTCTCAAGAACTCTCTGCATTGCCCCCACCAAATTGCAGTAAGTACAATTTGGTTATGTTTGCTGCTGCTGCTGCTTTTGGTTTTGGTTTTTTATTTTAGTTGCTTTTGGTGAAGCTGCTTTTGGTGAAGCAGTAACATGGTTTTTGTTTATGAACATGACATGATCATATGTTTGCTGCTGCTGCTGCATTTCGTTTGGGTTTTTTATTTTAGTTTCTGTTACACAATTGGATTATCAATTTCCTGGTTTGCCTACTATCCAAGACGGGAGGATGTTTATATATGTTTGCTGCTGCTTTTGGTGAAGCAGTAACATGGTTTTTGTTTATGAACTTGACATTTGGTTATGTTTGATGCTGCTGCTGCATTTCGTTTTGGTTTTTTCTTTTAGTTTCTGTTACACAATTGGATTATCAATTTCCTGGTTTGCCTACTATCCAAGACGGGACTTTGTTTATACATGTTTGCTGCTGCTTTTGGTGAAGAAGTAACATGGTTTTTGTTAAACCTCTTGACATTTGGTTATGTTTGATGCTGCTGCTGCATTTCGTTTTGGTTTTTTCTTTTAGTTTCTGTTACACAATACAATTGAAATTTCCTGGTTTGCCTACTATCCAAGACAGTACAGAATTTATATATGTTTGCTGCTGCTTTTGGTTTTTTTATATGAACTTGACATGATCATTGGTGAAGCAGTGTAGAAAACCTGCTTTTCTATTTTAGTTTCTGTTAGAAAACCTGGTTTGAAATTTTCTGGTTTGATAACCTGGTTTGTTTAGTTTCTCAGTGGACCTTTCTAATAGCTTTTTTTGGTTTTTTCAGTAATATGGCTAGTTCTTCTTCTTCGCAAGCCCCAAAATTCACAAATAAGGGTCCGATCGACTCTACACTTCTTTATCTTCAGGGCGATCATCGATCTGATGCCGTTTGGAATAGTGAGCCAAAATTCATTTATGAACACCATAAGTGTCGATGATTTGATAATCTACTTTGGGAGCTATACGCAATGTCCAATGACTGTGTTAAAGCTTACGTGGCTAACATGGGTTTTGGATACTTCCTTGAGACGGGTCTCATTCGATTAGACAACTCCCTGGTGACAGCATTGGTTGAAAGATGGCGGCCTGAAACACATACATTTCACTTCCCAATGGGGGAAGCAACAATTACACTCCAAGATGTCGAAGTTCTTTTGGGACTGAGAATTGATGGAAACCCTGTAACTGGCCAAGATTCGCCACCAGCTAGTTGGGTTCCAATGTGCCAGGAGCTTTTGGGATTCACGCCCAAATTGAAAAAAGGGTCCAACCAACTTATAATCACTTCGCTGGCAGATGAGTGTAAGCGAAAACTTCCAGCAAATGCCTCCGATGATGCTTGCCAGAAAAGGGCTCGGGTTTTTGTTTTGTGGGCAATTGGAGGTTCACTATTTCCTGACACAACCGGAAATACTGTGCCTTTGCTTTATTTGCCCTTACTGAAGGATTTTAAGACTTGTAGAAAACTAAGTTGGGGGAGTGCATGTCTTGCAGTGTTGTATAATAATCTTTGTAAAGCATCAAAAAGGACAAAATGGGATATAGGTGGATGCTTGATTCTTTTGCAGGTAGAATTTGATTTACTTTATTTTTTCCTTTTATGTATAACAATTTTTTTTATTTTAACCTAACATGTGTTCATTTACAGATTTGGGCTTATGAACGAATCCCAAGAATTCGCCCCATCAGAAAAAATCCGGAAGATGACGATCACACCTTGGCCTTGGGTTCAAGATGGAGGTGTTCATTGGATTTTTCGCAGGTGGCCTCTCACTGTCTCCCAGCACAACGAGATCAACTCGCGAGCCTTAGGAAGGTTGAAGATGTAAGGGTTTCTAATTTTATATTTAATTAAATTCTTTTTGAATGAATTTGAACTTAATGAATAAATGGCTTTTGCACTATTTTTGTAGAAATGTGATTTAGTTAATATGCTACTTTACAATGTACAAAGAAAGCATTGCTCTTTTTTTTTTTTTAACAATCTGTTATAATAAAGCAAAAATAGGCCATACCTTCCTTTTTCTTTTTGTAAGCTGCCTCTTACAATTAATTAGGACATTGCTTCCTTTTTGTTCCATTCTTTATGTAATCTTAAAAAATAGAAAGAAAAAAAGAAAAATAGAAAAAAGAAAAAAAAAAGCATTTTCTATTGTATTTAAATTCTTTTGGCAAAATGTCTACATTCCTTTTGTATTCTATTCTGACAGCCTTGATTGTATGTTTTGTTTTTTTTTCAGTTTATTTGGCAACCTTATGAAGGAGTGGAGATACCTGAAAGATGTACACGGGGTCGAGATCATTGGCAATCCAACACTTGGCTAATTTGCTGGGATGTCATTGAACCGCATCAAGTTGACCGTGTGATGCGACAATTTGGCTTCAAACAATTCATCCCACCACAACCAATGATTGTTGGTTTCCAAGAATGGGAAAAGTTGCACAAGTATGGTAGGACTGGAAGAGGTGGAAACAATTGGGAGTTACATCATCGTGAATACATCGAAAAATGGAACAACAGGGCAGACTCCATTGTGGCTGGGTCTCCGAGTGCTCAATCCTCAACCGATGATGATTATCTCCCATGGTATGAAAGTAATACCATCAAATTTATCAAGAATCCCAATAAGTACAACTTTCAGGAGGAAGGGTATCGTGAACATTCTGATCGTGCAAAATTCTATGTAAGTATTTTCCTTTTTATCTCTACTCTTTTTTTTTTAAGGCTGGTTTCTTTTTTTCTTGAGAATAACTGCATTCGCATCTTCATTGTGTATGATTTGTTGTTAGTGCTACATGGTTATATATTGGTGCTTGTGGATCTTGTTGTTTTCTGCTTTCAAGTTCTATTTTTAAATTTTATTTTAAATTGTAAACTTGTTTTTTAAATTGTAAACTTGTTTTTTAAATTGACAAGTCCTTTGTTTTTTTTTTCCTTACAATAATTTGCATTTATTTCTCCCGTTTTTCAATCCGTTAGTAGGTTTGAATGCATCTAAAATTTGTTAAAAAATTCTTGAAATGTTTTTCCTTTTTTGGTGATTAAGTTCTGGACATCTGGGTTTCTTTTAGTTTTTATCTCTAATCTTCTCTTTTATTTTTTAAAGCTGGATTCTTTCTTTTTTTTTTAAAGAATTTTCAGGTTTGTTATTTTTTTTAATTACATTTTTAATGGTTAAATTGATTTTAGGCTGATGCTTTGAGCGACATCTGCAAAATGGTAGAAGACTACAAGAAATCAGAAGATGTCTGCCAAAATTCAGTTTGTACGAATCTCCTTCTTGAACTCACTTCTCATTCTATGAGTGCTTTATCCCTTGGAGCACATGAGATGCCAATTTTGATACCCACACAATCACTTGTTGATCTTCAACCACAACCTTCTCAACCGGTTGGCAAAGTTCGCAAACGGAACATTCCTCACCGTGGGATTGGAGGAGGAAGGCAGAAAATTGTTGAAGAAGAAGAACCAAAATTTGATTTTGAACTCAATGCCGACTTGTTCCAAACTCCAACCCCCCATCATCAGGACGAAGCCAACCAAGAAGGTGAATCTACAAATATGGATGTGGAATCTAGTCTACCTTTGGCGTTAGCAAGGCCGCGTAGAAAACTAAAGAAAGTCAATCGCTACACGCCATCCACTGCCCAACCCGAGGAGGAATTGTAATGGCATCATTTTGTTGATAATCTACTTTTGATCAATATTTTGTGATGTAGTCTTTTATTTAAACATGTTAGAATTGAAATATTTTGTTGAATTAATGTGTGAATTCAAGGGTTATTTGATTTGAGTTGAGGTCTTTGTTGGTGTTGTTTTGGTGTTTGTTTGTTAACTGTTTTTAACAGTTTCAACGAGTTTGCAATTGCAAACCTGCTCGCTTTTTTCTGTTTATCGCTTTAAAACGGATGTCAAACATCCGTTTTTCTTTTTTATAGTCCAAAAACGGATAAACCAAATCCGTTTTTTTTTCCTTAACAGCTTTAAAACGGATATTGATATTCCGTTTTGTAATACAGCTTTTGAACGGATTTTCCATTTCCGTTTTAGGTTTCAGAAAAAAAATTATTTTCCGTTTGTTTGGTTGCTCGAAAAATTCTATATAAATTGTTAAGTGCAAAACGGAATTTGAAAATCCGTTTTGATAATCAGCGTATTATAAAGTACTTATTACAACTAATTCTACAAAAACGGAATTTGGAAATCCGGTTTATTACCATTGCAACGAAAAACGGAAATTGGATTTCCGGTATATATTTTTTCTGACCACTCCCTGAAACAACTATATTTCAGTCTACTACTTTTATTTGAGACATATTTTGGGGTTTGAATTTAATGTTTTTCTTATCGAAGTTATATAATAAAGAATTCCATTCAGCTATTGAATTTACTCAATAATATGACATACATATATTTTCAGATATTTTGGACATTGTAATTACTCATTTATGTACACTTGAGTTGGAGGGAAGATTGCCAAACGGGGGAGGGAAATTATTTTCACAAAAAGATGAAAGAAGAGAGAAATTGTGTATTTTGGGCTCGAAAGTCCACTTTTTGCCAGTCATTTTTATCTTCTCGTGTATGATGTATTGGTATATCCTTCTTCTCATCCAAAAATCCTGACCCCAAAATCAACCATGGTCCATGGGCAACTCCTCCAAATTCCAGATTCGGTATCCCTCTCCAAATCTGTCTACACCGGCTGACCATTTGAGTTGCTGGTTTGTATTGTCTTTGCCGGTGTTTCAGCCTCCCGTAGTGCTACTATCGGCCAGTAGATTTTAGATTTTACCAGATGGAAGTGCCTGGTGTGGTTTCACCAATAGAGGAAATACATTTGAGTTGTGCACCGATGGAAGCATCTCTGTTGTGGTCCTAACATATCTGTTCTACATCAGATTTGAGCGGAATTGGTGACTCAGATCTGGACCTGAGGGGTCACAAACAGAGCAAGAGGGGAAGCTCTCGGCCGTCAGCGAGATTGACGGTCTAGATGATGAAGTCAAAAGCGAGTCACTCATTGGAAGCTTCATAAAGGGGGAGACAACAATGTGTGGTAATTTCTTACGTTTCTCGATCTATATTTTTTCTTTTGTTTTTATTAATTATTTGTTATCTATATGTTTTTCTTTTCTTTTTTTTTAATTATTTTTTATTTTTGGATATGTTCCATTATTGGTCTTTATTTTTATTTTTTACAAATTTCTGATTGTTAAATTATTTAAAACGAAAAATTAGGACACTCTGAAGCAAGGGGATTGCTGTACCGATTAATCTAGGGGAAAAGTAATTGATATTGAAGTATTCTCTGTTTTGATTAAGCAGTTAGATTTGGTGTGGGAATCTTGATAGTCAATTAAGTATCTTTTATCTTGCATTTTAAAATGAAAAAATCCTTATCCAATTGGGTTTATTTTAATCCTTAAGTGGAAAATTGATTCAGCGTTCTTTTGGAATTTGGTTTAGTTCCAATTTATAAAATTTCTAAAGGAAAAAATGCCTTCTTTTCTGAAGTTGATCTTGTTATTCAATTCCTTTGTTGCCCTCCATTGAAGTCGGGATTTGGTTTAGTTTCATTGTTTACTCTTGGCTAATGAATGTTGAATATTGTTGTAACTTGGGTGTTATAATGGATGGATTATATGAAGCTTGTGCCGTTTGGCTCTTTAGGAGTTATTTTGTAGATTTTCTTACAATGTTATTATATTTCCCTCAAATGCGCTTCATATGTTGCCTTGTCATTATGTAAATCTTTGTCTGTGATTCCTATTAATGGATAAATTCTTTATTGCTGAAAACCAAAGTGTATAGGTGGTCGATCACTCTTATGCTCTATGAAAGCGAAAGCTTTATAGATACACAAGATTAAGGAAGGTTTCACCTATTTGTTGGCTGAATTTTCTATTTCCTCTACGAGGATGGTTATTTTTCTAGTGAACATTTTACCTATACTGCAAATGATGCATGCTACTTTGTTGGAACTCAAGGAAACTAGGGTCCTATTTTCACTTCCTTTGCATTTATCCGTGGAAGCATATCGTTTGCATGATCCACTTCTGAAAGCAAACTGTTGTGGCACACTTTAATTTGTAGCTACTTTGTTCTACTGTGGCAGCTTTCTGGAGACTTTCTGTTGTGTTTTTGTTGAAAGTTTTGTTGTCGGCATCACAATCCTTGGAAGTTCTAAAGACTTGTATTACCAAGTTGGTGACCTCACTGGCTTGTTTGGACAAATATAGGTAAACCCTCATCTTTTGTATTTTTCTTCCATCTGGATTGTCATGGTTTGGTTTGGGCCTGCCGAGGATGCCTGGTTATTAATTTAGAGTTTGAATTTGTAGGTTGTGCTGATTTAGGAGAGTATAAATATTTGCTGTTCTTGATACTGCTCTAAGAATCTTTTTTCCGTCAAACTTCGTGATATTTGAAGTCTGGCCAACATTTTACGATCTGTAATACTTATCATTCCTGTTTATGTTTTGCATTAGGTGATCAATGTTTTGCTCAAGGATGATTATCAATTTCGGTGAACAATTTGTTCTATTCTGGCAAGGTAATGGAAATCAAGAATGGCATTTGGATTCTTATTTATAGTGGGATATGATCTATGCTGGAGAACAGAAATATGATCTATAGTTGAGAACATAAAAAATTTGTTGCGACTTGTGCAAGTTATGAGATTTTGTTATTATGAGAACCTTTTGACAATACTTTTAATTGATATATGAGTTTTGGTTATTCCTTCTTATTATTATTATTATTTCTTTACTATTATTGCATGTTTTAGAAATATCAATTACTAATTATTTTTAAATTTTTTTGCACTTATTGGGACACTTGTAAGTGTTCTTTATAGAATTGGATGATTAAACTTCTATGACACTACAAAGCGTCCAGTTAGAAAGGAGTCTGAAAAAACTGAAAGTTCCGACAGCAAATAGAATTTCGGAGAGAAGAAGCCATTGCAAGCTCTGATTAAACAAAAGAAATCAGAATCGTCGGGTTTAATAGAGAAAGAAAAGTCTCTAATTCCAATCGATGTTACGAATGTCACAGCCATTCCTCAGGATCAAGAGAAGGAGAAATCTCTTGTTAATATTGATAATGAGAAAGAGATGAATATTGCTTTGTTGTCGAAGATGGAGCATGTTACGGGAAGGAAGGATTTCGGGTATAAAAATTGATTTGAAATCCTAGCGGAAACAGCAAATCTGGATGAAGCTCCAGCGGGTTTGACTGGAGATAATTTGGATGAGGAACTGAATATATTGGCGGATGAACTTCATGTTGCTCAGCTTCCATTGGAGGACAGCCGGAGGAAGCCTTCAGCAATCACCATCGGACAATGCGACTCACAGCCTCCACTGATTTCAAATCCCGCGCAGCGCCTTCAGCCCAATCCAGTCCTGATATCCCTTCAATCTCGCAGCCCCTATCCAAATCACAACCAAATTCTACTCCTGCACAATCACAGCTTCCAAGCAAATCAGCGCCAGATTTCCCTCAACTGTCGCAGACTCTTTTCAAATTGCATCCTTTGCCTACTGTGCATCCGAGTCAATCCCTTCCAGAATTTCAAAATTCAAATTTGGAAAAGACGCAATCCACTCCCGGGGAAATCGCCAGACTCTCGCAAAATCCTTCACCATCGCAAATGCATCTGACTCCTCCCGTGATAACTCAGGGCGCGCCAATCACCGTCACCAAGTCAACTGGACTCTCAAGGTTCGAACGCTGAATTGTCGCAGACACAGGGAGAAAATTCGGAAGATTAATTGGAATTAAAATCCACCATGCTGTCATGCAACCTTCAACTGTTGGAAAGTCATCACAAAATCACTCTATCAATAGTATTCAAAAATTAAATCCGGAAGCCGCGGAATTTAATTATTCTCCTCAACCACAAGTCCCACTTTTACAAGTTTTATTTCCTATCTCAGCTCTGGATAATCAAAAGTAATACTCAAAAGATGATACGGAGATAGGAAAAAATACAGAGTCTTCCAATACAATTTTTTCGCGTGAACAAATCCATTCCAACGGAGATCAACAACAAGCTTTTAATGATTCACAAGATGAACACTTCGACACAGAACAAGAATTGGAACGAGAATCTTTTTACAGTGAAGTTTCTGCTACAACATACCATAATCACTCGAAAAGACCCAAGGCAAAAAAGAAAAAAGTACAAGTTCGTCGATCAATTAGATTGAATAAGGATTAAAATTTTACTTAATGATTAAAATTATACTTGCAATAGGGTTTAGTATATAAAAAAAAAACGTTGTATCTGGATCGATTTGGCTGAAAATTTTTTCCCTATTTAAAGGTGTTTGTCCAAAGAAAATTTCGTCGAGGCAAACGGTAAACTATGGCGACTTTTGGAGAGTTCAAAAAAAAAAGAAAGGTTTTTCATATGTAAGGCTGAACCAACTAACTTGCCATCGGTTTGGCGACATGGAAAAATCAATGATCCAGTTGATACGAATCTTTTAATGGATCCTGTACTTTTGGCTGATATAGATAAACTTCGTGGTTGTGAAATTGATCTTGTGGGGCCTTCTGCTAAAAGTTTGAGTTTATTGCAGCCTTTGTTCCCTGACTCTGAAGGTAGTATTGTACATTTATAACTTTAACTTTCATATCCCTATTATGGATGCTTCAAGTATTTAAGAACTCCACCTTACGTAAAACAGCATGCGTAATGGATGCTGATATCTTGGACTTCATGGGAGTTGATACTTCCGCTAATGCTGATGTTGCTGTTAAGTCAAAAAGCAAACTTGATTCGTCAAAGGCGATCGGTAAATCTAAGAAGCACAAATCATCTTTTGCCAAAGCTGACAAAGGCAAAAGGCCCATTGAAGCTACTGTTGAAGTGGGAAAGCTGTAAAAGGCCAAAGGCTTGGATTCCTCGATTGAGGTTGATGCCTCTAAAAACCACTATGAATTCACCATCGATTCGGTTACGGATGCTAGAAATCTTGACAGTATTTTGTTTCAAGAATTGATTACCCAAACCAACTCTAAGCTGTCAGAGGTAACTGCCCACATACTCATATGAATCTTGTTAGAGTCTAAAATGATTTTTATATTGATTTTTTTTTGTATTTTATAGTTCGAAGGCTGCTATCATGCTTTGCAAAAGCATTGTTCTTCGTGGATTGAACAAACAGAAGAAGTTGAGTTTAAGCTTAATGAGGAGAAAGTTCGTAGGCGAAATATTGAGGCATCCTTGTTGAAGGTTACACAAACTTGCACCACACTAGAAAGGGAGAGTAAGGCTCTTAAAGAATCAAAGACTAAAGATGTAGCTCGTATCCAGTTCCTGGAGGAACAATGTCTTCGCCTAAAGTCAGAATGCAATGCTTATTTCAAAGTTGTAGTGAAGAAGTTTCTTGAAAGTGTTGGGTTTATAAGCTTTTTTGGCAAGTTGATGAAACCTGTTGTCGCGTGGGGAGGCACCAAGCTGTTTCCAAGCTTTCTAAGCTCTGTCCTGAGCTTCCTCACTATTTTCTTTGGGGCTTTAACCCATCAGCCGAAGCATTTATGAGCTTTTGTTTCATTGATGCTGTTCGTTGTCAGGAGTCCTTTCCTGTAATTGATCATTTGGTCAAATGTTCTAATCCTTTATCTTTGGATGACTTAGAATGTCTTGCAGTGGATCATAATCTAAGATGGATAAGCCTCCGAAGGCTCCACTTATGGATGGCTCTGTTATCCCATTTGAATGGTATGATGAAGCATGTCTACAAGCTTTGGCTAAGATGAATGGTGAAACTGTCACCTTTGGGGCTGGAAAAACTATTGAACCCGAGATTGCTGCTTCCGCTAAGGTTTCCAAAGGCTCTTTACCATCAGCGGAAGTTGTCGCTCTTGTGAGTTCTACAATGTCAGCCTCTCCTCTTGAGGCCTCAGATTCTGATTCTGAGCCTTCATCTGATGCTCCTGAGGCTGCTAACTTGAAAAGTTCAGCCTTGCCTCCTAAGGTTCCATCTCAGGATCCGGAGGCTTCGGGCTTGAAGATGTCATCTTTGCCTTTAGAGGTTCGTGGATTGGAAGAGTCTAGGGGACTTATTGTGGTGACCTTCCCACGAAAGTCTCGTTGCTTAATGAAGGAACCAATGCTAGCCTACCTGATGCAGGTGACTCTTCTCAGGCTAGTTTTTAGGCTTTTTTTAATTATTAATTAGTTTGGCACTAGTTTTGTTTATGTAATTCTGATTTGGACTAGCTATTATAGCATGTCAAAGTATTCTACAATTAGCTTTTGCTATTTGCTATTTTGTTAATTGTTACTCTGCTTTTCTTCAGTGGTTTATAGTTCTTCATTCCATAGAATCTGATGGAATTACTGATTGCCGTGATTTACCAGTAGTTTTAGCACTTCGCCGATGTACTAGGCAAGTGCGTCAACTTTTATCCCAGCTTTCAAAATCCAAATCTCTTTGTCTTTATTGGTATGATTTAGCTGGAAAAAATGGCCAAGATGCGGCTGAGTGGAAATGACATTTCAACACAACAGGATCCCGATTGCATGAGGTAGAAAAATTTTATGGTGATCGTGAGAGGTCTTTCCGTCGACAAATCTTTGAAAGTTCTAATGAGATTAAGCATCTGAAGTCCACCATAAGTGATCTCCAGAAAGACGTGCAATCGTCGCCAGAGTGAAAAAGATTTAATTGGAGCAACAGAATGGTATGAACGCAAGCTCCAGGAACAAAATGATAAAATTTACTTTTTCCAACTAGAAATGAAGAGACTTTTACCTTTGACTCATGATTATGCAGCTCGACTTGAGCTTTCGGTGCAAGTCCGTCTTAGGGAACAACTGCTCCTTACTATTCAACAACTTGAAGAGCAAGGCGCAACTAAAAATGAAGCCTATGGACGCACCTGGAACGCCTTTTGAGGGTTGTGATCCGAGAGGAAAAAACTGGACGGGTTGAGTACTAAGGCATATTGGAATATTTAATATTTCCTATTATGTCCTAGATTAGGGTTTGTTATTGTCTATATATAGTATGTATATTGTACACAATATATTATGAATCAAATACAATTTCCCTATTCTAAGTTGGTATCGAGCTAGGTTTAGCGAAATCTATGTTTTTCTCTCCTCTCTCGGTTCTCTCCCCCACCGCCGAATCGTTCTTCTTCGGCTGTGCACACCCCATCCGCCGTCGTGTCTTCTTCTTCGGCTGTGAATCACACATCTTGCTTCTGCTCTTCGCCGCCTCACACAGGCTCTTCGCCGGCGTTTGTTCGTCGTCGTTTCCTCCTGCTGCTGCCGCTGTCTTTCTGCCGTCGTCGGCTCTTCTCCCCTGTTTTTCTGCTGTCGTCGTCGTCGTCGTTTTTGCCGTCTTCGTCGTCGTCGTCGTCTGCTGCTGCTGCTCTTCGCTCAGACCTGTCATCGGCGTCGTCGGTGCTTCGTCCTCTGTCGTCCACAGCTGCTGCTGCCGGCGTCGTCGTCTTCTACCTTCCTGCCGCCCCTGCTGCTCGTTATTCTCGGTGGTTGCTAGTTCTTCCATAATATAAAAAAAAAAACAAAAAAAAACAAAAAAAAAAACCAAAAAAAAAAAAACCTGATTGGGGTGAATTTCGTTCTCTCAATTCTTTCTTTAAGGATGCCGGTATTGTTCATCGTTTAGCGTGCCCACACACTCATGAGCAGAATGGCACTGCTGAACGCAAAATTCGTCACATTGTCGACATTGGACTTGCTCTCCTTGGCCATTCCAGTACCCCTTTTCGGTTTTGGGATTTTGCTTTTGAAACTGCTGTGTTTTTGATTAATCGCCACCCTAGTAAACCTCTTCAAGGTCACCTACCCTTCACTACACTATATCACCAGCCACCTGATTATACCTTTCTTCGTGTCTTTGGGTGCACTGTCTATCCTCTTCTTCGCCCTTATAATAAACATAAATTCTCCTTTCGTTCTACTCAGTGTGTCTTTCTTGGGTATTCTCTATCTCATCTTGGTTATCGCTGTTTTGATGTGGTCAATAACCGTCTTTATGTTGCTCGTCACGTTGAGTTTGATGAGAAACTCTTTCCCTTTAAACTTCCCATTTCTAGTTCTCCGTCTTCGCTGCTGGAGTCTCCTGCTACCCCTTGGTTGCGTGTAACCAGTTCTCCTGGTATGCTTGCGTCCTCTTCTGCGTCTTCTTCGTCTCCTTCTAGTACCCCAGTTCTTTTATCTCCTCCTATCCCTCCCGACTCATCACCTTTAGCTAGATCTCCTGCATCCAGCTCTTCATCTGATTGCAGTCCTCCGCCGCCACCTCCTCCTCCTTCTTCCCGCCAGCACTCAATGACACTTCGTCCACAACCCAACCCCAAGAAAATCTTTGATCCCTCAGCTCATCTTACCTCTGTTTCTCCAGCCTTGTCTACTGCTCCTACATCCTTCACCCAAGCCAAATCTCTTCCTCAGTGGCAGAATGCCATGAAGGATGAAATTTCCGCCCTCCTCAAAAATAACACATGGACTTTAGTTCCCCCTCCTTCCTCCGGCAATGTTGTCGGTAATCGATGGCTCTATAAGATTAAAACTCATGCTGATGGTTCCATTGAGCGGTATAAGGCTCGGTTGGTGGCTCGAGGTTTTACTCAGTCTTTTGGGGTTGATTACACTGACATCTTTAGTCCGGTTGTTAAGCCGGTCACCATTCGTTCAGTTTTGACTGTTGCTCTGGCTCGTGGATGGTCGATTTCTCAGCTTGATGTTAGTAATGCCTTTCTTAATGGTGTTCTAAGTGAGACCGTGTATATGGTTCAGCCACAGAGGTTTGTTGATCCGGTGCGCCCTCATTATGTGTGTAAACTGCATAAGTCCTTATATGGTCTTAAGCAAGCTCCTCGGGCCTGGTATTCTCGGCTGGCAGCGTTTCTACTTACCTTGGGTTTTGTGGAGTCTCGTTGTGATCCGTCTCTTTTTGTCTATCGCCATGGGTCTCAGTTGTGTTTTTTGCTGGTCTATGTGGATGACATTATTCTTACAGGCAACACTTCTGGTTTGGTCCAGCATTTTATCTCTTGTCTTGCTAAGGAGTTTTTTCTTCGGGATTTAGGTCCATTGAGTTACTTTCTTGGGGTTGAGGTTCGTCATACTTCAAAGGGTTTGCTTCTCTCTCAGCGCAAGTATGTCACTGATTTGCTACGACTTGCAAATATGCATACTTGCAAACCTGTTTCCACTCCTTTGCAAGCTAATGTTGTGTTGTCCCGTTTGGATGGTACTCTGTTGTCTCCTGATGATGCGACTACTTATCGTCGGTGTGTGTGGCGATCTGCAGTATACCACTCTCACTCGTCCAGATATCTCCTTTGCGGTTAATAAGCTTTGTCAGTTCATGCATCACCCTCGCACTTCTCATTTTCAGGCTCTCAAACGGGTTCTTCGCTATCTTCGTGGTACCGTTGATTACTGTTTAGTTCTGCATCCTACAGATTTGGGTACTCTTACTGCGTTTAGTGATGCTGACTGGGCTGGTTGTCCGGATGATCGTCGTTCTACTACTGGTTTTCTCATTTATTTGGGACCTAATCTCATTGCCTGGGTATCTAGGAAGCAGCCCACTGTGGCTCGCTCGTCTACTGAGGCTGAGTTTCGTGCGGTTGCTAATGTCTGTGTTGAACTGCATTGGGTGTGTCATCTGTTGTTCGAGTTAGGCGTTTCTTTAAATCGCCCTCCCTCTATTTGGTGTGACAACAGTAGTGCAGTTTTTCTTGCTGTCAATCCTGTGTTCCATGCTCGTACCAGACATGTTGAGGTTGATTTTCACTTTGTTCGAGATCATGTTCGGCGTAAGTTTGTTTCGGTCAATTCTATCTCTGCTGCTGATCAGCTTGCTAATATTCTGACAAAACCCTTGTCCAAAGAGTTATTCTTTCGATTTCGGGACAAACTTCGGCTTCTCTCTTCTCCCCCGTAAGTTTGCGGGGGCGTATTGTAATATTTAGTATATTTCCTATTATATCCTAGATTAGGGTTTGTTATTGTCTATATATAGTCTGTATATTGTGCACAATATATTATGAATCAAATACAATTTCCCTATTCTAAGTAGGCATATGTTTGTTAAATAAGGTAATACCATGCTCAAGGCCAGACCTTGTTTCTTCTTCTTCCTTTGATTTAAATAAGGCTGTTTAATAGCCCTAGACTAGGATATTGGATTTGTCCCGAATGTTTCATTTTTGAACTAATTCGAATAAAACCCGTGCAAGGATTAATTGTTGTAGCCTGGGCCTGAGAATTGGTATTCATTTGTTTGTCCTTTTTTTTTTTTTTGCGGTCAAAAGATAAGGCTTTTGTCACGGGCTTACTTTTTCAAAATAACGGCCATGCAGCACTAGCACTAAAATAACCAATGATGAACGTACTAGCTCAGCCTTGACCCCTTAAACGTGCAAAGCTATGCAAGAGAACTTAAGAACGTAGGCAAACGAAAGCTTAAGAAAGCTTGGGAATGAAAGAACGATGTAGGCACAAGAGAGATTAAGGAATGCTTGAGAACTCTTACTCAAAGCTTGGATGGTTACAAATGAGGGAGGCTTGGGGTATTTATAGGCTAAGTCCCCAAGTCCAAGAGAATTCTAAAGAATTTTATACAAAGAATAAAATGATAAGCTTCTAGGGAATTCTATGAATAAAATATTCTAAGTGTAGAATTCCATAGAATTCAAGAATCTTCCAGCCCGTTCCTGACCGACCTAGCAAAACCCGGGAAGCTTCCCTACGTTTCCAGCAAAGTCTAGTCGCTTCTAGAGAATTCCAAATCCGTGTGGAATTGATCCTAGTTTTTCAGCGTTCTCTAGAACGTTTCGTTCCTTATCCTGGTTAACGGAACGGCCCGTTTATGCAGCAAACCCCACAAACGTGGGAAAGGACGGCCTAACCTGAGAATGGGAAACGGCCGTGACATCCTCCCCCATCAAAACGATGCATCGCCCCGATGCACGCTAAGACTCGAAGGCAATGTTGATGGAAACGGGTGCACGATTCTCCTCAAAGTCCTCGATCAACTTGGTGAATTGTCAAAGCTTCTCGACTAGCTCCCAACTCGTCTCACTCATTGGCAAACCCTTCCATCTCACCAAGTATTCTTTAGTCGCTGCCCCGTTTTTGCCTCGAACGATCCTCTTAGAAAGGATCTCCTCCGCGGTCTGTTCCTCGTGCTCGCGTACGCCGGCGGGTGCCCTTGAGGAAACGTTCTGTTTTTCGTCCTCCGGGTCCTTGCGATATGACTTAAGTAGGCTCACATGAAAGACCGGATGAAGCCTTGAAAAGGCCTTTGGTAGCTCCAACTTATAAGCAGCGGAAACTACTTTCTTAAGAATGGTGAAAGGACCCTCGTACATGCGCATGAGTCCCTTGTGAAGGCCACGGCTCCGTCCGTGCTCATAGAGTTTCACCAAGACTTGGTCGCCTTCCTCAAACTCGCGACGGCTACGTTTCTTGTCCGCACATTTCTTGATGCGTGCGGCCGACTTCTCCAAGTAGAGCTTTGCCTCTTCGGCCCGTTCTTGCCAATCCTT